ATTTCACATTTTTGATTTACGAAACACGATGCGTATGTCCGATTCCAATAAAATTCGGCATGAGTGACTAGATTTGGTACAAAAATAAATTTGACAAAATATATTCAAATCGGCTCAGATTTGGTTATAGCTCCCATATATATTTTCGGCCAATTTTACATATTTGGTGCATCCAACTCGATATGTGCGTCCGATTCCAATGAAATTCGGACAGAGAGACGAAAAAGAAAAATGCCAAAGTTATATTGAAATCGGTTGAGGTTTGGGTATAGCTCCCATATATATTTCGGCCGATTCCATATATGTTATGCATCAAACACGATATATATGATTGATTCCAATGAAATGTTACGGAATTTGGTTACAATAAAAATTTGATAATTTAATTGGAAATCGGTTAAGATTTGGATATAGTTCCCATTTACATATTCACGGCCGATTTCACTAACTTGACGCACCAATTTCAATGATATAGAAGGTGTGACAGAATTTGGTGTAAGGGTAAATTTTATAAAATTATATTGAAATCGTATCAGATTGGGATATGATTTTATTAAGTACCATTGACCCACAACACCTTTGAAATGGTATTAGGCTAACAGTAAAAAACTACACAACAATTTAATTGAGATACGCTTATTCCGGGAAGTATGTTGCTACATCGAATTCACTAATTGCAATAGAAATGCCACTGAGCTTTAAAAGATTGCAGTTTCCTGCGCGCTTGGCATTTGCTATGAAATTAATAAATTCGAAGGACAAAGCCCTTCATGTATGCATGTCATGTTCCTGCTTTTCTCATGGTTTTGTTTAATTACCCATTAAAGTAGTGCAATAATTTTATTTTAAATTTGTTGTTTTTTTTTAACCAACATATATTCGTATATAAAATTTTGAAAGCATATGAAATAAAAAGGAAGAAACATATTGTCACTCAGGTAATATATTTTTTTGGTTTTTAAAGAACTCCTGAGGAGAATATCCCCAGATAAAAGCCAATATAACTGATAACTGGCTTATTCCCTGTCCTAACCTTAATAAACCTTACCATTTTGCTCCACTAATAAATAAACGCTATTTTTCATAAAAACAAAATAATAGAAAAAGCCTGATTATTTTGCAACAACAAATTTGTCAAAATGTTTAAAATTTATGAGGGACCTGCACTTTCACGCTTGATCTAAATATTTGGACTAATTCAACATATGTATGTTGAGTGTTATGAATTACTAAAATATTATTTTTTTGTGAGGAGATACCAGAAAAAGTGGACCAATATTTGATGTTTTCGCACCTAACCACAATTTGATACAAAAATTCCTTAAATTAATTTGAACACAGGTGTATCAAATAGAGCCAGCGACAGACAAACATACATTTATGTTTGCAATATGAATTCTGTGAACAAAATCTGAACATTAACGAAATACATATATATTTAATTAAAATTACATTTGACTTTGTTTAACATCTAATTTTCTCACATGCTTAGAAGAATCGAATCGAAGAGATGCACATCCATAAATTTTCATAAGAATTGATTTAAATTTGCATTTTTCCAAAGTACCCTCCGATGTATTTGTTTGTGGCACAGAATCCACATAGAAACATTAAATTCCACTCCGTGGCTGGCATGCAGTGACACACATGACAGTAATAATGCCAGGCGATGACAATGACAACAACAACATAGTCGGGACGACTAACTTAAAATGTAGGTACACGAAATATTTTTTATAGCTTCTTCAAACGATAGATGACATTTAAAATCCCATTTATATTTAATGCAACAAACATCAACAACAACAACTACAACAATACCACACAACGTTTATATTTAACAAAAAGAAACAACAACAACAACTACTACTACTATCTTCACAACGACCATTATTCCCATAAGGCTTCATAGACAGAGCAAATTCAGGCTATAAGACCCCCGCTATTTATGCAGCCAAAACTATTCCAAGTTGCTGTGAAGGCACAGGCTCGTAATCAGGTTTAAATGTTTAACAAATATTGTTGTTGTTGCAGTAGCCTCTGCTGCTGCTTTGTAGCATTGCTTCAAAACACAAGAAATGAAGAATGCCTCAAGTCAGTGGCTTCTTTTTGAGCCAAGAAGCTACAGTAAAGTCGTGACCTGTAACTTTTTTGGGTTTGACTTAAGGTTTTCCAGTCATGCAATGGCGATCATGGAGAAACGCCTATACCTTACCAAGCCTCCCTTCTACGATTTTTCACAACTTTGTACAACACCTCTTTGCAAGGAATTGGACCAGACACATAAATTTTGAATTAATCAGTTGCTGTTGCTATTCTTTTTGTGTTTTGTGATAACACCCACCACTCATTATACGACCCAGTGCCGTTTGTTATCCAATGTAACTGTGAGCTGGCCCATCGAAGTTGGCCAAGATCATAAATCATGCAAATCAGTTCAGTTTAGTATAACAAATAGATTTGATCGTCAGGGTATTCTATTCCATGGCAAGTTGATCATCTTGATAGGGAGTACCGGTATCAAATAACCATTGCATCTAACAAGGTAATTTGCAATTTGAGTGCAGCGAGATGCAGTTGGAAAAGGCTTTGAAAAGAACTTAAAAAAATGATCTCAATTAAGGGCAACAACTAATCTACCAAACTAAAACGTGCATTATTATGAGAGCAGCATGATTTTCAATTTTCCACAACATTGCAATGAAGTTGGTGTGAACAAGAGAAATGTGCTTTATTTCGGATGGTCGTTATTTTGGTCTGGTTAGTTAAGCAGAAATGTTATATCTGGATTTTAAGATAGGAATTTTAAACTAGCATATTTTGTTAAAATAATTTAGCATTGCCATATAAGTATTAGTTTTAAATTTTCAATTCTGGCGTTTTTGCTAAAAACTCTTCTTGAATTTTGAGGATAATTTTTAAATAATAAAAATTCTTTAAGACTTTTATATGCAAAATCTGTTTAACATTTTTTGTCACTATGTGTTGAAGCTATTATAAGTTTGATTGGACCAAAAATTATGTAACACATCGAAATATTGCTCCAAGACATAAGAAGCTATATATGGATATTCCTGTTTCGCCAAGTTGAGTCGATCAAGCTATGTATATTCGTCCGTCCGTTTGTCCATATTAAGTTGAAATTATGCTACAAGCAGCAATTATGACCAGATCCTCATTATTTTAGCAGGGAGGTGGGGTTAAGATTAGAGTAGAAGTCTATTAAATTTGGAGATGATCGCAAAATATTTCGGGTTTGAAACGATCCAAAAACAGAACATTTTTCTGCTGAGCTGGTTTTGATAGGCCATAACATTTATATAAAAATATACTTATATGTTGCGTATCTTAGGTAATTTTTATTTTGAACGCTACTAGAAATAATATCATATAGGTCTACTTTTTGGTACATCCCTTATATTTGTTTCTTTACAGGAGAATTTTGCATCCACTTAATTGAGTTAAGGCGTTCTTTCATAGTCTGCTGAGCATTTCCTGAAATTACTTTTTTGATAGAGAATATTTCACTAATTGTAAGCTATTATTAAAAAAAGGTTGAAGATTCCTATAATTTCTAAACCGTCAATCTTGAACCTTTTTATTAACGTTGCTAGGCTTATTATCAAAAAAAGTTTAACCCCTCCACCATACTATAAAGGGTATATTAGCTTTGTCATTCCATTTGTAACTCCTCAAAATATTCATGATAGACCCTACAAAGTACATATATTCTGGATCAGTGTATAATTCTAAGACGAATTAGCGATATCCGTCTTTCTGTCTGTCTGTTGTAATCACGCTATCTTTCGAACGCTATCTTTCGGCTAACATTTTGCACACATATGTATGTTGCCAGTAGGCAGGTTAAGTTCGCGGTACTTCCAGATATTCGGTATTTTGATGATTTTCTTATTCAAAGTTTTTAATGGGAACTACAGCCTGCGCCTAAAAATTTCGTAAGCAGGTCCACGTCTTCGTATATTTTGACGATTTTAGCCAAACTTTCCAATTGAAAATCCACACAGGAAATTCCTTCTGAGTACGTTACCTCTTGGAAGAGAATTGTGTACATAGGTCCACGTTTAACATATAACGATTTTTTGATGATTTTTGCGACATTATTGACCCACATTTTTTCAAACTTAATTTTTCGAAATTTGTATGCCAAAAAATGTCGAATGCAGATCAACGTCTTTGTAAAGCCCCCATATAACGTTACGTCCCTTTATTCGGTATTTTGATTAAACCACTAATTTTTAAACGACTTCAACACAATTATCCATTTGGGTTACATGCTTTCAATCCAATCCAAATTGAATTAGATTATTTTAACATTAACTCAGATACACAAACTAAAATGGTTGGATATAGTTCTATTTCCAAAATTATTTTAATCTAGCTGGTAAAATAGGTCTATTTTTGATATTTTTCTCAAATAACGGTCCCTCCAAATTTAAAGTATTTCGATGGATTTTCGATTTTTAATTCCAAATGTTGGCAATTCATGTTCTTGAACTTTTACTGAAAAAAGTTCGAGTTTAGGCCTACTATTTAATGTAGCTTCCTCACAGTGATGACTCCTTATTTTTAATATTTTAACAATTGCATCCACCATTTGGACCCAATTGGCTGAAATACGACTATTTGCAGTTTTCGTTAGATGACTGTTCGGTCTACAGAAGAGTTTTAATGTCGGTTTCGACATTAGCTCCATATAACGGTTCCATCCGGTTTTGGAGGAAAACGTTCTCGCCACCTTTTCCATATGCCATTCAAAAATATTCATCCCCGAATTTAAGTTATTCTATAGCTATTTACTTTGGTATAATTTTGGTTTCCCACGGGGCAGATTTTAGAATGCTCAATTTTTCGATTTATATAGAAATATTTCTTATTCCGATACTATCGAAATTGTTTCATTAAATAACATTTGTAAATATAATTAAAAATACACCACACTGCATCACATGCCACCACAATCACTTGTATTCGAAACTCACCACTTGAAAAGTGAGCGCCATATTGCTGTGTTTTTATTGTTGTTTTCCGGAGAGTAATCCTTGTTTCCTTTTTGCACAGATTTTTATTTACAAATATTTTATTTCAAAAACACTTCTTAACACTGACTTCATCACTTTTCTTTCACAAGTAATGGAATTTCATGTGAAATGAAACAGTCTGTTGTCCAATCGATTTTACGAATCACGTAAACCGTAATTTTGGTTTTGTATATATTTTTTTGGAATCGCGTTCGGGTATAGAGTATTGCAATTGTCTAATGAATTTGAGAACTATTCGCTAGGTTTGTCGTTGTCTATCGAGTGTTGTTGTTAAAACTAATGTGCCATCAAACATCAAAGTACTCTGCCTTTTATACATTTTTCATATTCGCTTTTCATTTTCATTTCTTTCCTTTGTTGTTTGAAGCTGCGCTGGCGTTCCTTGGCAATGTTTTAGATTTGCCGATTTTATTGATGGCGTTGCAGCTGCAGCAACAACAACAAGTAACACAATACACGCTTGTTGTTGTTGTAATCGTTGCAGCTTTTTAACTTGGCGCCCAACAAGAATCGTTGTAAACAAAGCCGGATCGTAGAACTGCACTCAGAGTAACCTCAACGGCAGCAGAAGCAACAGCATCAGCTTCAAACCAAATTGTACTTGATTGAGTTGCCAACCGATATGTTTGCTAAACATGACAATGTGCCACATATGGAGGATATGACAAAGGCAATTAGCTTTCCCATTAGTTATGGGGTCACTGGGGCATTTTCTGTGGCATTTATACCTGCGGATGACTTTTTTTTTGTAATTCAAACGGGTTTAGATTTGTTTTAACTGTTTAATTGTTTTAATATAGAGCAACTCAAATTTGTTTTATTAATTTTTAAATTATAATCAAATTTTCAAAATAGTTTTTTTCTTTAATTTGTTCTTTGACGTTTTACTGTTAATGAATGAGTTGGTTTTGCCTCCTGATGTGTATCCTCATACTGTTGACCCTTCATGGAGGACGTTCCGAAAGAGTGGATCAATATTGTCGATTTCGAATCTTTCCCAGGTCTGATATAAACATTACAACAGATTTGTGGTTATTAAAATTTTAAATATGTTAGAATGTGCGTGAGGTACATGATATACTGGGCCAGAGTGTTCCAATTTCACATTATATGTAATACTAATAAAAATATTGGGATGTGCAAAAATTAAAGAAAATTGAACATGTTATGGAAACAATTGTTTGTCAAAACTTTGACATTTTGTGGGGAAAGCACGAAAAGGATATATATCATAATTACATTAGATCTATGGTTGATAGAAATATAGAGATAAACGAAGTTTGATGAAAATCTCTTGTGTCGCATTATATAAGAGTTATTAGTATTCAAAATGTTTACTACTTGCGGGGTAGGTGCCATAAGCTAAAGTGGGCCGATGAATTCCATATTCACATGAGATCTCTGGTTGAGAAAAATATTTTTTAAAAGGACTTGTTTAGCATGTTATGAGAGACATAGTTATTGAAAATTGTAATTGTAGACAAGGTATCGGAAGGAGTGGACCGATATATCCCATCTCCACACCAGATTATTGTGTATTTAGATATATTGGAATGTATGAAGTTTGAGGGGCAAGTAATAGAATGGGTTGTTCAATGAATTTTGTTTTCACACCAAACCATTTGTTGGTAAAAAATATTAATGATAATGATTATTAATAATAATTAATGAATGAGAGAATTTCGGAAAGAATCGGAAGTAGAATCGTCCAATATTGTCTATTATCGCACCTGACCTTGCACCAATAAAAATATTAAGACTTGCACAGTTGGATTTTAAATTTTTCATTCCGTTTATAACATCCCTACATATTCGTCGACCACAAAAAGTATACATGTTCATGATCAGCATAAAATTCGAAGTCGATTTTACGATGTCCATTTGAATGCCTGTCCGTCTGTTGAAATCACGATACAGTCCACATTTGCTTAGGTAGAGCTTTAAAATTTGGCACAATAGTTTGTATTGTGTCTGCTAACGGTACCTCTCGATATTCGCTATTCTCATGTTTTCAGCCACATTTTCCAATTCTTTGTCTTAAAATTGGCATTTGTAGTTCGTATTTGCTTCTCACTCCTTGGCAGAAAATTGCTTTTTAGTTCACGTTTTCTTATAGCCCCATATGACAGTACCTTCGCATATTCGGTCTTTTGACAATTTAAGTCATATCTTCTAACGGTTTTATATAAAATTTGTTTTTTTGTCGTAATGGGTTCCAGATTAGGTGGGGAATATTTTATATAGAGGTCCAGGAATTCCTATAGCGGCCATATAACGGTAAGTTCCGATATTCGGTATTTTGATCATTTAAGACATATATTTTAGTTTTAATTCCAAATTTTATATTTAAAAGCACTGATATTCAATATTTTGATGATACCAGCCACAATTGTCCACGGTATAATGGATAACAATTCTTGTAGTAGAAATTTGTCTATACACGTTTCGGTATGGCCCTTATATAACGGCTTACCCACTATATCGTTCTTGAAGAGTGTAGCTGCATTCTCCAGCCTAGTGGAACACGTTTGAATATAGATAATTTTTTTATTCCTGTCAAAAGGGTTTCAGATCTGCAGAAACTTTATCGCTTATTATAGTGTTCTGGGGTATGAAGTGATCGGTCTACTATAGCCTTTGCATACTTGTTTCCTTTACCTAGAGGCGGTATCCTGAAATGGATTTTGTCCAAAGGAACTTAGGGTCTTAAACCATTATTTCTATGGGCCCTGTTTCAGATTGATTACTTGTTTAAAGATATATAAAAGAGCTCATACCTATTGGAAGTAATAAACGTGACTCGACTTCAAAGCCGGGGGTGAGATACACTTGTAAACTGGATTGTCTAAAATTTGTAATAGGTGCCTCCTCCTCCGATGAAAGTCTTCAATATATGTGTACTATATATGTAAAACAAAGTTGTGTTAGTTACAACGTTTATAACTCAAGAACCGCTGGACTAATTTTAACGATTCAGACTAATTCGGAATTGTCTCTTGGCAGAAAAGAATAAAATCTAAAAAATCGCTTAAAAATGTGAAATTTGAAAATTTTCATTTTGACTTTTGAAATGTACAATCGTAATGATTTTTTCCATTTTAACTTACTATTTTCGAATGTACATTTGTACAGGGTTGCCCATATTCGACGGACCCATGACCCATTCCAATCGACGAGGCTTGTCCGCAGGCAACTTTCTTTGCGTCAATTAAATTTTTTACAGGAACAAATGCAAATCAAAGCGAATAATCCGTTGTAAAGTGGACCGAGCCATGCCCAACTGCTGAGAACGGCGTTTTTGGGATGTTCTTGGGAACCTATCAACACTGGCTCGTACGGCAGCGATATTCTCGGCCGATCGTCTTGGTCGACTTTTATATGGCCTCTTCGGATTAGAAAGAGCCTTACCAGTCCAAATTTTTCGTATAAACGCTTAATGGTGTTCTTAGAAGGCGCACTTCTCACATTTTTATACCCTTTACCATAGTATGGAGGGTATATTAAGTTTGTCATTTCGTTTGTAACACCTCGAAATATACATTTTAGACCCCACAAAGTATATATATTCTTGATTCTATGTCGATTTATCAATGTCCGTCCGTCTATCCGTCTGTCCGTCTGTGGAAATCACTCTAGCTTCCGAACAAAATGAAGTAGGTTGATAAAATTTTACTCAAATGTGTACTATGTTTGCAGGACTTTTGGTATTGAAAATGGGATATGTAGGCCCACGTCTTCGTATAGCCCCCATATAACGGTACCTCCCGATATGGGGTATTTTGATGATTTTAGCGATATTTTTACTGGAACTTTTTCAAAATTAATATTTAAAGTTCATAATAGATGCTACGGCCTAAGACAGAAACCATGTAACGGTACCTCCCGATATTCGGTATTTTGATGATTTAGCGACATTATTTACCGGAATTGTTTCAAATTTGGTATTTGACGTTTTTAATAGATACTACAGCATAAAACTGAAAATGGGCCATGTATGTCGACGTCTTCGTATAGCCCCCATGTAACGGTACCCCCGATATTCGGTATTTATATCGTTTTAGCGACATTATTTACCGGACTTGTTTCAGTTTTAGTATTTGAAGTTCGTAATGAATACTACATCCTAAGACAAAAAATGAATCATGTAGGTCCACGTCTTCGTATAGCCACCATATAACGGTACCTCCCAATATTCGGTATTTTGATGATTTTAGCGGCATTATTTACCGGAATTGTTTCACATTTTGCATTTGAAGTTCATAATGGATGCTACAGCCTATCACAGAAAGTTGTGTGTGCAGGTTCACGCCTTCGTATAGCCCCCATATAACGATTAGGCTACAAATTTGAAATACATGATATTTTAAAAAATACAGAATAATTTAAACATAGGTATACATTTTGGTATAGTCCCGATATAACTTTACCTCCTAGGTCCACTTATATGAGCCAGATCTGTAAATAATTATGCTTAAAAAAATAATCATTAAAGGCCGGTTATTATATAAGTTAAAGTTGTACTTAGTTTTTGGAATTGCTCCAATATAATTGAATATCATGAATCTTATGTCAAAATTCGTGTTTCAAAATGGGAAGCATTATGTCCTTTTCGTTCTAGAAAAAAAAAGATTTTGTTTGTTATTTTTTTCAAATTTGCTCAATCTCAAAACATTTCGATACAGACGCATAAGTCATAAAAATAGTGACTTTTTTGCAAAAAGAAATAAAGTCTTAATATATAAATTTAGTTTTGTTAAATATTGTTCAAGGACTCCCCGACAATATGAAAATCGTACCTTTTTTCAAAATTGACCGCAAATAGTGGAGTTTCCTGATATATATCTTTTAATATTCGTCGAGAAATATTCAAGAGCTTGAAGCCAGTAAATCGGGGACTTTATATAAACTTTTTTTAAGCGAGTTGGTTTTATTCAAGAACTTTTTTATGAAAAATTATTATTAAAATGTTTTAAGGAATCGTTTACAATTATATAACAAACTCTTAGTACTTTGATCAAGAAGCTTGCATCAAAACCCAATACCATAAGACATATAAATATGTCCGTATAATGGCTAAGAAATGATACACGTTCCACGATGATATGATATGCTAAACATACCTCTTAGTCACCCATATTGTAAGCTAAGGCTATACATCTATTGACAAACCGATATTTTGTGTTTTAAAAATCATCCCCTTATGAAATTTAAACTTGGTTTTCTATTGTAAACAATTACCTACATAAATGATTATATCCTACGGAATGAACTCGGAAATTCT